AGACCTCCCGCTTACTAAACGGGTGCTCTAACCAACTGAGCTACGAGAGCTTCTTGCTTATGCTACTTCCTAAAGTCCTCAAAAACTTCATATCAAATCTCTATACTTTAGCCATCAAACAATACACAACACAGCAACAAAACTATATCAATCACATAGCAGAAGAAGCTCTCTTAGATAATCTCTTTTTTTTTTCTTTCTTTTTTTTTTTTTTTCAATTACATAAAACAAGTTTCCACAATAATAGAACAAATGTACGATCAGTGTCTATACAAGATTCTCATTTTTCCCCCTTCAGACAAAAACAAACAAAAGTTGCTGAAATATGTTTCACTTTTGCTATATATCACTCTCGTTATTTATAGTTTTTAGAAATGACTGTAAATATTTCATCTCCAGGGCGAACCACTATGCGATATGAAGTGTCTAAAGTCTGGTAGAGTCACCTTCAACCGCCTGAGCCACTCTTCAGCTGCTTGTAGCAGCGTCCCGACTCTCTGGTTCTCGTCCAAGTCACTCTCTGGGCTCCACACCGACAGCTTAAACTTGTAGGAGGCCAGACCAAAAGTTGGTAATGGAAGCTTCGATGATGCACCCGATTTGCTTAAGCTCTGACCTTCCTCATTGCTTGTACCTTTTATGATATAATATAGGAGTGTGATTTGGAATGTTTTATAATAATGCCGACTATGTTTTATATATGCAGAGATGACTTACCTCGACAAGGTGTTGATAAGGAGTGGAATGTTAAAAAGCAAGCGTCGAGGTTTTGTAACGATTGACCTAATGGTATTCGGTATATTGGGTACCTTAAGAAAGGGAGAACAAAAAAAGGATTTAGAAGGAGCGATCTGGAAAAATAAACTCATAAAAATGTGGGAAATGACAGGTTAGATGCAGTACCAAGCTACAGAGACCCAACTCGAAGGTGATAGATCACAACTCCTGTATGTTCTGAGTGCAGGAAATTGTGATGACAGGTTTGAAATCTGCAATAGTAAGGTTAACATTATTATGAGACAGAACATAATATTTTCGCAGGCTATAAATAGAGCACCGTGTGAATGAAACATGTTTATAGAAGTCGAGCCACTTTTGTTACATGTATAACTGTATTCGCAGAGACAATAAGCTTACCTTGTCAGTCAATGGTTCACGGCCAAATGGCATAGCAGCTTCAAGATACTCAAAGACAAGGTCACCAGGAGAGTGACTGCTAGCCTCACTCTCATCACTGGATGAACCAATGCAAGGTTTCTCTTCCAAAGAGGCTCTGTATAAACTCTGAGATAGCTCTCTACAGTCATTACTGCCATTGCTACTCATGTCTCTAGGTGAATCACCATCACTTTCTTCACCAGCTCTCCTGTTTAAGAACACACCAAAACAAAGGATTTATCTAAAAGACCGAAAAAATTTTGGAGTTGAGGAGAAAGCCAAAGAGATCAAACAGATTTGGAATTCAAAACGATGACATACTTCAACTCTAGTTCCTACAGCGACAACATGCTTTGCTGATATTTATAATGCAGACCACTAACAAGTATATGAGAGCATGTAAGTTGTGTTTTAGTCATCCAAATGTATATATTTAGGCCAAGTAGCAGAGAAAGTCTAAGAATTGGTTTTCCTATCATCCTAAATAAAGTTCATCCGAAGATTAAAAACAACCCAAGAATGATGCGACTTCATTTCAGAATATAAAATCGACAACAAAATCAACTGCTAAATATCAGTTTGGCCAACTTCAGCTCTTGATTCAAAAGCAAAGAATCAGATCACTCTCCTACTTATGGTTGATGGGAAACAAATAAATTATCAGCAAAACAATATGAACTCACCTCCTACTTGCTGAAACTCTAGATGGGTCTTCATAAAGCTGAATTCCAGAGAGATAAGGAACATAATACTGAACAACTGAATCAATCCCGCTTAAGAGAAGGGGAACCCCGACACCGTAGGCGCTCCACTCCTCAAATGAATCCCACAAATCATTCAGCAAGAAGTAAGGACAGTGCTCTGGTTCCCGGGTTCTCCAACCTTTAATGCTTCTCTGAAGAATATAGAAACTTTAAGTAAGCACAGCAACATCTCATCCTATCGTCCTTTACTAAGCATCATACTTGTGAGTCTACCTTCTCTAATTCTATCTAAAACATGTAATCATCTTTATCTTCATTAAGAGCATGATCGTTCCTTTGGGAAAGATCTTCAGTTACTAGAATGTACAATGCAAAATGAATTCGAATTGGATTCTAAAACTTTCCCAAATTTCAATTCAAAAATTAAAGAAACCTCAAGTCGCCGATTTGAAGTAAAAAAGTTTCAAAATCGGAGTAAATTACCATGGGCAAGTACTGCGTAGAGACGACGGGAGTGGTGCAATCAAGAAACCGGCCCAAATTGGACGAAGTGCCGGTGGTGGTGGAGGAGACCCGAACCGGTACAAGAGAGGAATCGGAGGTAGAGCACTCATCGGGTTTCTTAATGTCGTCCTTGTGAGAAGCCTTAATCTGACGATCGAGCATCTTCTCCTTAGCCTTCAACTTCTTCTTCTTCTCCTCCTCCTCCGCTTCAAGTCTCTTCTTCTCACGCTCCTGTTGAAGTTTCCTCATCGGAGGAGGGTTGTAGAACCGATTCTCGCCGCGGATCCGACGGGTAGTCGACATTTGTTCGGGCCGGCGATGGAATAAAATTTTTAAAAAGTAGTTGGGGATGATGACGATGAGAAATGATAGTGTTTGGTCTTCTTCTTCTTCTTCTTCTTCGCTTCTTCGTCTTCTGTGTGACGCAGTTTGAAAAAGGGCCAATGGTTATGTTTAGGGTTTTAGACTTTTAATTATGTGTGTGGTTAGTGGTTTACTTAAGATGAGCGGTCAAAGATGCCTAATTATGAGATTTTGTTTTATTGGGTAATTGAATTCTTATTTATTTGATTTTTGTATCAAATCGGTACATCCACCTATACTTCTGCAAATGCATCCATTTTTAAACGTTAAATCAATCATTCAAAACATTTAATAACTCTCCCGCAACTACAACCACAACTGCTGCGTTTAAACCAGTCAATTCCCTTACTAAGAGAAACAACGCAAAACACCTACTTAACGGATATGAACAGATTGAAACTCTAACTATAATGATCTCAAATTAGATTTGATGATCTTTTTGTCTTTATCAACAACATTATTAACCTTGTTAATATATTACATATATCGCTTAATCTGCATAATCTATCATATGTTGGACTTTGTAGTAGTTTTGTTCTCCTTCAGACAATTTCCTCCTCCACTGTCCCATATGAAACCCCGCAACTGTCATGTTAAGTGCATGATTCCATCCGGAAGCTCCTTAAGATTTCTGCATTCATTTATAGTCAACGTATGAAGACACGACATGGAGCCTTCTTCTACTACCAACTCTTCCAACTCATATAGTCCTGATAACTTTAGCACAAGCAACCGAGGAAACCCGCCTTTCGAGCACACCATTCTCTTCCCAATGAAAGAACGGTATGATAATTCAACCCATTTCAAGTGAAGCAACTTCTCTAGAACCGGCATTGGATCTTCCTCCATGCTGCAATACCGTAGACATACGTTTGCAATGTTTGGAGGGAAGCGATGTTGTTCAAGCAATCTTGGCATATGCATGCCAACCGTTAAAGATTTGAGATTAATGGAATCAAGAACTAATGTCCCTTCGTATTGGCCATTATCCATGACCTCATATAATGAAAGCTGCTCGAGTTCTCTCAATCCACAGAGAGATGAAGACAAAGTTTCTAAAGTACAACCATCAAGAGAATGGACAGTGAGAGTTCTGAGATTAGTCATACCAAGAAGATCCTTCACACTACTGTTCTCTAGTGAGTAACCACTCAAGGTCTCTAGGTTCACCAGATCACTCAATTCCAATTTTTTTCTAACATCCATTAGGAAAGGTAAGATAAGGCACCTTAATTCTCGTAGCTCTTTCAAAACATTTGGCACATGAACTGAAACCCCATCGACACCTAAATTCAAATAGAGCAGAAGCTTCAGATTCCGCAGAGAAGAAGGTATATGAGAGACTCCAGCTCTGTATAAGCTCAGGAATCTCAAGTGGATAAGCTCTCCAATACTTGAAGGTAACTTCCCTCCTTGCAACTTGGCTCTAGAAAGATCCAACACCCTGAGAAATGGTAAACTCCCCAAGTCTGGAAAAGATTGTATTACAGCATCTTCCTTGGTCTTCAAAAACAAAAGCGATCTAACTTTCTTATTTTTTGGTCCTATCATTTCAAATGCATTACTACTATGTACAGCTAGTCTGCGAGAAGATTGAGCATTGATGGTAGAGGTAGAAGTAGATGTAGATACATTGACGATTTGTAAAAAGTTATCTTCTTCTGCTTTAGATAAACAAACCCCTCTCATTACGTCATGCATATGACAAGACTCCATTCTTGAAGTCAAGTAGCTTCTTTCAACAATAACCATATTTCTTCTCACTAACTCTTCTAGGCAGCCTTCTGCATTATCTCGAATGGTTGCTGGATAGATCATTATAAGTCCTTCTGCAGCCCAGTAATTAAACAATGTCTCCACATCTATCTTGTAGGCTTCAGGGAAATGGGCGAGGTAAAGGAAACAATGCTTTAAGTCCATTGGCAAATCTTCATAGCTCAAAGACAATATTCGGTAAACCGAATTAGAATTTAAGCCAGATCCTCCAACGATATGAGGTCCAATATTTTCATGTACTCTTTTCCATTCGGGAACTGTATGTTTCGTAGCTAACAATCCTCCCAACACTTTGATAGCTAACGGTAGTCCTCCACAATGAGTAACCATTTCCTTACCCATGATTTGCAGCTCTTCATCAATCATATATTCTGCACATCATCACAAACTGTTACCCTTTCAAGTTTTGAGCCTTAAAGATATACAACATCCTGAAAAAGTATACCTGCTTCACCTCTTCTAGGAAATGCTAGTCTTTGGCATAGAGTCCAACTTTGTTCAAGAGTAAGGCATCTAGGCCTATAGGAAAAACATGTGGGATCTGCATGTAAACCAACACTTTCGTTGCGGGAAGTAAGTAGCATCTTCCAACCTGCAAAATATTTACAATTAGAAATTATGATCAAATGTATAAAGAGAAACAATGCATTTGATTTGATAAGAGCTCACTTCTTTTCTGTGGGAACACTTCTTTTATTCGATCCCAGTCTTCTGCTTTCCATATATCATCTAGGACAATCAAATATCTGTATGTCTCCAACAACTGAAAGAGTATTCCCTGACGTGTAAACTCATCCATCTGCAAAATCTCCCCATCATCTGGTCTAAGATCTTACAAGATTCTTTGCCACACATGCTTCTGTGTAAACTGTTTCGAAACACATATCCACGCAAATCCATCAAAATGACGCCGTACTATGTCATGATGAAAAACTTGTCTGGCCAGAGTGGTTTTACCAATTCCCCCCATCCCGGATATAGAAACCACTCTAGTATGATCGTTTCCGACCAATTGAGAAACCAAATCTTCAACAGTCTGATCCATCCCCACAAGATTGTTGTCAGAATTGTTAGGAAACGTATTTCGGATTTCCCTTTGTTTATCCTCAAGGGACAATGAAGAACTGCCACCATCAATCATCTGTAGTATTCCAAAACTCTGCATTGCTGCAATCACATCAGAGATCCTCTGAGTTATTGCTTTGATATCTGAAACTATTTTCCGGTGATCCACTAAGATGTAACTGAGTCTAGTGACACGCTTCTTGATCCCCTTTTGTTTTCTTCTTCCTTGTTTTATAAGAAAGGATTCGATTATATCCTCAGCATCATAAACAATGTCTTTGATATCTTCCAAGAAGTTTCTCACCCTTTCACTTCCATGTTTCTTGGCATCTGCATCTTTCAACAGAGACCATAACCTTCCCAGCTGACGTTTTAGTTCAGAAACTTGCTCGTCAACTCCATTGAACTGCTCAGATTCTCGACTCACAAGATCCCAAAGCTTCTCAATTCCAAACAAGATAATTCCTTCAGCCATAACAACTTCTCTCCTGCTCCACCACAAGAACAGATAAGTCAACCCAACATGGAAATTTCTAGTGTGACATGAATCCTCCTTAATTTAATTAAGTCACCAAAACAAGATAGAAAAGACAAAGACAGATCAACGCATAACAATTAACAAACAGAACAACTAGAAGAAATGAATCAGATAAAATCATTTACCTCCGGTCTGAAATATACTAGCTTGTGTTGTGCTTAGTGCTCACAGCGTTCTGTGGAAGATAATAGGTGAGCTTTTAGTTATCAACGACGATGATGAGTCGTGAAGTCATTTTATTAAACACGGCTTCTTGACTTCTTTGTATTTTTCATTTTGAGGATATTTCAAAAAAGACCCTTGCTGGTTGGTTATTACTTATTACACTTTGTTTCAAAATTGTTCCGACTTTTGATGCTGTGTTCGTAGAAATTTCGTGGGAATTTTCGCATAACGTACCAGTTTCATCAGCTCTTTTTTCCCTATGCATAACCATATGTACCCTTTATGATTTCTATCCATAAATCTATCTCATGTGGAAGTGTACCTTATAAGCATGTGGAAGTATCTCATGGTTGAGCAAGATGATTAAATTTAGTAACTTATAAGCATGAATGGACTCATAAAGCTTGTCGAGTCTGCGCGCCTACGATTTGAATAAAGGATATTTGACTAAGTTTGGATATATCAGATCAACCAATTGCTTTTGTCTAAGCTTTGCCTAATGGAAACAGATAAAATAAAACCTTTGACAAGATGCATTCATTTTAAAAAAAACTACCAAAAGGAAAAACTACAGCTTCTGAGAGTACTGAATTCTCTAAAGAGTTTACTTGTCCAACACCAAAGACCAAAGCTATAACAAATTTACACTAATAAAAGAAGAAACCCAACTAACTTTTAACTGTCATATTCTTTTCTTCCTTCTTTTTTTACCTTTGAATCTGATCTGAACCAGAGTTATTAGCCGCCGACGCACTTGAAGGCCGTCCATTTTCCGTCCCTGCTTTCTCTGCAACGCCCCATCTTCTAAAAGGTTCTGGGGTTTCGAGAACTTTAACCAACCCATCAGAGAGTCCAACAGCTATCTGGTTTGGTTCTTGAGGGTGAGCAGTAATTACCAGTGGCATGAGTGGAGCACTATTTGCACAAAGAAACAAGGTTTTTTTCAGGGTGACTTAGAAAGCTATCAACAAAGTACAAGCTTCTTGCGGCATAAGATTTTTAAGGTTAACTAACCTGTTTGGTGTGGGTTGTGGCATGTAGGCTGATGGGGCAATGCGGCATCTGAGTCTCAAGTATTCAGCATCAAAGACTCCAATGTTTCCATCTGCAAATGATGCGTAAACCAGTTGACTGTTGCAGGAGTAAGATGCGCAGGTTATAGATGATAATAGCGATTCTTGTGGCACCCACTGCATAATAAGACACAACAAAAAAATATTAGAAATATGCCTTGTCAATGTTATGTGATACCAATATGGCGAAATTGAGACAATGTTGTGTCATAATGCCAGGGAAAATGAAATCTCAGTAGAAAAATCAAACAGGATTTGGCTGTCTGAATATCAACTTTGAATTGAAAAATATGACGTATAACTGTTTGGACAGGATACTAGAAGCATAACCCTAAACTGGAAAAGCAAAAGATACTTTAAATACAGTTCACTGGTATTAGAGAACCTATTATTTTTATACCTTCTGAATGCACTCCATCTTTAAACCGTCATATATGGCAATCTGTGTCTCATGAGACACTAGTAAATGGACCTGGTCGTTATGGAACTGGACACGAGTGTCGCCTACTGGTGACATTCCAGCTGGTAGTGGGATAGCTGAAGATTTCTTCTTCTCCCATGAATCAGCACTCCAAAAGATCAGCTATAGCATAGAGAGGTGCATAAAGTTACAACCAAGTTTGGTGAAAGCTCAATAGCCGTACTGAGAAAATTAAAAGCTTAGCGTACCTGGGCATCAGCACCAGAGGAAACTAGAATATTTAGAGTGGCAGAGAATGCTAAACCAGTGATGTGCTTTTGGTGGCCTTTCAACTTTGTTTTCACCTATAGAATGATAGAGGGATTCTATTACAAATTCTCCAGAGTGAAAAAGATATATTATAGCAGTGGCTAAACACAATCTACATAGACAAAACTAAATCAAAAGTTGGATATGGATACCTCATCTACCCTAACGTTGTATATATGAATAGTAGAATCCTCCATTCCAATTGCAATAATGTTATTATCTTGAGGATGAAATGCCAGGAATGTTGAAGCAGGAGGCGGTGGCATGAAAGTAGTCATTACCTGTGAACAGAGTGCAAATGCCAGTAAGTCCACATATTTGACACATATCAGCTCTTGCTATTGCAGAAGAATTTTATAGAAAGATGCTTCCACTACAAGCCGAGTATACCAAAGTTATAGTGTTGTGGCATAACTGGTAAAGTCATAATTGTTTCGCAGATAAGAAGTTTACCTTAAATGTCATCATATTAAACAGTGAAACCTTTCCACCACAAGCAGACATTACGTACGAGTCATTCTTAGAAAGGGCTATGCACGGAACAGTTCCATTAGGATTCTCCGGAACATCATTTGTCATTAAAAGACCACTGTTAGGTTGCCAATGCTGTGGAGTGACACTAGCGGTAGCCTTAAGAAAAAAAACAAAACTCTCAGCGACTTGAAAGGGTGAAGATAGAAGTAATCCAAGCACACATACGTTAATGCATACATATAACATATACAGATATATCAAACTGCACAAGGAGAAGAAGTTAAATTTGTACCTTTCCACTCGGATTCTGCTCGCTGCGGCTCCACTTCCATAGTCTCTGGACACCATTTGTTCCAAGAGCCAAAATGCCAACACCAGAGTTTGTATAAAGAAGCCGAGCAACCTTAGACATTAAAATGGCAAATATAATCCACATTATTGTTATACAGAAACAGGATAAGTAATAGAAGTCACCAGCTGAATATGAATAAATCTTTTAAGGAAATAAATAACAAACCTTGCTAACAGAATCCTTACTATCTGGCATGGTCACTTGTCGGCACTGAGCAGGATCTACAACTTCCATGAGCTCCAAAGGTTTGGACTTTTCAATAGACTCCACGTTTCTTGGCTTTTCCATAGTTCTTGACATTGCATCAACTCCGTTCTGTACACATAATAACACCAAAGTTTGACAATGCTGCAGTTTGTAAATACAGAGAGAAACTTATGAACCATACAAACAAGATTCATTTTTCAGTTTTGCCAGTTATAATATCCCAGATCAATAATTATAGATGTGGATCAAATGCATGGAATAAAGGATTTTTGATCAAATCTGTGAATTTGAGTGATGCATTAGTGCCTCAGGATGAATTGTACAGAAAACAATAAGCCGATAAGTTGCTACCCATACATGGCTCTACCTGTCCCGTATATTCATCTATTTATGAAAGATTATAAATATCGTAAGGCTGAAATATAGTAAAACATACGGGAATAGGGGTTGGCCTTGCAGGAGAGCCAATATCCATTTGTTCCATTTTACCAATAGCTGGGCCAATATTTGTAACCATTGCAGATGAGGATACCTGATTACCCAGAATAAAAGTTGTAAGTTCTATTGGACGGAAGGTATGACAAAACACAAATTTCAAGAAAAGCGCATAAGAATTAATTTTAACCTTCATCTCTGTTGATGCTCTGGATGCTTCGAAAGAACGAGCTTCCATGACCTTTAAGGTTCTCAAACCATCCCCATTAGCAAGGATTTTAAATCCGTTATCAGCTGTAGTAACAGCAAGAAGGTTCCCGTCTTTGTTGAATCTCAATCGGGGAAGGCTCTGATATAGGCAATACATAGCAAGGTAAGGAACAATCAAATATATGGAGCCATACAAAGGAAAAAGATAAAATATTATATAGAAGTAATAAAGAGCAATAGCTTAGATTTCATACCGGGAGTCCTCCATCAGCCTCGACAGTTGTTAAGAGATTAACATTGTCCATATCCCAGAATTTTATTTGGTTATCTTCACCCACAGCCAAGAATCGATTGCGTGTTGTATCAAACTGAACCACCCCTGTAGATTTCTTTCTAAAGCCCGAATATGTCCTCTTTATGGCACCTTCACTTTCATTCCATTCTACCAGGAAAGACTCTCCCTCTTTACTTGTTCCACAAGAAAATAATCTGAAACAATGGGAAACTTTAACATTTACTATGGCTGCAACGTGTAGGAGGTGACCCGTAGCTTATTATTAATCTGATAACTAAATTCTTATAAAAAATCTTCCCACCAATGGAAATCACTTAAGTTTATGTCTTTTCTATAGTTTTCAAAACTAGATTACGTATCAAGGGTTTTAGGATGAACTGACGTATAACTGTTATTTCAAGTTCAAGTTCTAGCTCTTCAAGAAAGAAGAAAGTACCTGCTACCATCAGCACTGTATAGCATAGTTGTACACCAGTGTCCTGGTGCATCATAGTCAACTCTAGAACCCACATTATCATAGAGCCAAGCCTTGATCTTACCATCAAGAGCAGTTGAGAATATAAACTGCGTGAAAGAAAATAAAAATAATTTATACAAAGTAAAATGAAAAAGATGTCACTCTTAATTTACACCCACAGAGACTATACTCCAGAAGATGATAGTTCAAGTCCAATGCAAGCCAAAATGGAGTTGGATTGCTATAACTGATGAAAGAAAAAACCTTTCCTCTAGACATATCGACAAGAGATGGCTGTACCTGGATGTTTTCTTTCTGGTGAGGGCAGATGGAGTAAACTGGTGCCTCATGCCCTTCAAAGGTATACAGTTTCTTTCCACTCAAATCCCAGACCTAATCATAAAGTATATGTCAGACAGCTATAAAGGGAAGCCACATAGAAGGTACACAACAGCTTCAGAATTCTCACTGTTTTTTCTTTGCATAGTTACCTTTATAAACTTATCATCCCCACAAGTCACGACACAAAGTTGCTTATCGGTGGGCGAAGGCCAAGTCATTCACACAGCCAACATGAGCATCCATCTACAGGCAGAAAGAAACTGGTTCACTTTTTGCACATGCCATAACAATGTTAAACAAAGAAAGAAGGAATAGGTATGCCTCTAAATGTTGACGTAATTCAGAGCCTTGGTAAGCATATATATGCATCAGATGTTTAGTAAACGCAACTCCTGTACATTGGAAAAGAAAATCAGATTTAGACATTGAGTCCAGTTGAAAAGAACTATAT